TGGTAAGAGGAGGTGTTTCATCTTCATTTAGCTTATCAGATTCTCATGAGAATGAATGGAGTCTTCATGGAATCACTGGAGATTCTAAGGATTGTGTTCAAGTGGAATTGAGAAGAAGTGATAAGAAGATTAAAGAGATTGAAATGAAACAGATTATAAGTTTGAGAGGAGATACATTGAGCATTGAGCTTTGTGTGACAAACAAAGGAGTTTCAAAAATTAGTCTTGAAGGTTGTTCACTTGTGAGTTATTTGACAGTGAGTACACCAGAAGCTACTTATGCAGTTGGTTTGGAAGGTTCAGATTTTGTCGAAACGAAGCGGTTTCTTCCTCGTTTCGGGGTGGTTCAAGGCGAGGAAGAAGAAGGAAAGTCCGGGTTTAGTGGAGAAGAAGAGAGTAATTACAAACAGTTGAATCAAGAAATGAGTAGGGTTTATACTTGTGCTCCAAGGAGTTTTACTATCATTGATAGGGTAATTACAATAAAACTTGGATTCAAATTTTCTTGTTATTGATAAGATGTTCGGATTTAATGAATTGGTGTTTGATATTCTCAGGGAAGAAGAAACTCAGTGGTGTTGGGAAGAGAAGGGTTTGAAGAAGTGTACATGTATAGTCCTGGTTCGAAACTTGAGAGTTACACAAAGTCTGCATATGTTTGTATTGGACCATCTTCATTGTTAAACCCAATCTCTTTAGAACCTTGCTGTGTTTGGAGAGGTGTGCTACATCTACACAATCCTAATTCTTAAGGTTGATATTTTTATTATCAAAGTTGTACATACATTAATTTGATTTTATTGTTAGTGCATCAAGTCAACACACTTCGTTCAATAAGAATTTTACTCTAAGACACAAGTGTGTTAAAAAAGAAAACGGGAATTTATATTACCAAATTTGGAACAGAGTTTTAATACAGAACTTTAAGAGCAGGAAAAACAAAATTACAAAGCCCTGGAGGAAGATAATTAGAACAACTAGATGAGATTGCATCAAATATTGGTAAAACAGAGAGACATTAGGTTCCTGCATTGTTTACCGTTCCACTGAGCAAGGAGAGGGTCCCTAATGTTACAGTCAATTTGTTTAAACAGAGCCATTGTTGTGGAGGATGAGAATTGTGTAGTCTATTGTTGCTTGTGCCACCAAACAGTTTAGCATTGAGAGCAATTTCAACCTCCTTGTAGATATGGTTGGGCTTCATGTAGGGTTCTTCTCCCCGTTAACATGTACGATGAAGAGTGACTCTACAATAATCACATGTATAGAACCATTCACTTGCATCTAATTTTGACTCGCATATCTCACACCAATATTGTAGATTTGTTGCATCTTCTTCTCCGTAACAAAGGGTGAGTGGATGCCTATCGTATTTGTAGTGTGCGACACGAGGTATAGTAGCACATTGAATGCACAAACAAAACTTGCATTCCATACATTTTGGAACACATACTCCAACTATTTTTTTTTTTTGAAAGCCATGCATGCATTCATTGTATCTTTCATTATCATCGATCGGAGTGAAGAAAAGTGGGTGATCATGTCGATGGTTATCTTAATCAGATCTACACAATTAGGGTTTATCCATGATCTGATTAAGAGGCCAATAAAAACCGACAAGCTTGTCAATCAGATCTACACAAGTTATGTTTAGACTAAGGATCATGTCCGGAAGGGAAGATCTGATTAAGAGGCCAATAAAAACCGACAAGTTATGTTCACTGGTCTTTGTAAAAACTCTTATAACTTTTATGATCAAAGGAACTTTATTGGTTCCTAGGAATCGTGAATTCATCAAACAAGACTAATGGATTGTTTTCATGTACGTTGATAATCTCAACGTTACTAGAGGAGGATTACTTGACGGTCAAATATCAACGTACTTGAAAACAATCCATTGGTCTTGTTTGATGACGCCACGATTCTGAGGAGCCAATAAAGTTCTTTTGATCATAAAAGTTATAGAGTTTTTTACAAGGACAGTGAACATAACTTGTCGGAGAAAGAATATTCCGGGAGGAATATAGACGGTTGAACTTCCACTACTCCATTGACAAGTTTCGTTCCATGTTTTAGTAAACGCAAACGCATTATCTCTTTTGTCCATCGCCACGAACACCATATTTTCTGACGAGAGACGAGACTAACAAAATCAGAAACCTAGACGCCATTATTGATTAGTTTGATAGCAAAAGAGAGAGCGTTTAGGCTTACTATTTATAAGGTCACAATATAAAAGAATATATTGTTGGTACATTTAATGTATTGAATATTTTTGTTAACTATGGAAAATACAACCCGTTACTACCATTCATATGGAATGGAATGTATACTATAAAATATAATTGGACTAAGGGTTTTACGAATTGTAACCTTTGACGAATTATATTGTTGATACATTTAATGTATTGAATATTTTTGTTAACAAATATGGGAAATACAACCTGTTACTACCATTCATATGGAATAGAATATATACTATAAAATATAATTAGACTAAGGTTTTACGAATTGTAAACCAACCGGTTATGCGAAGTGGTTTACTCCTAGACATCTATATACAAGAGGTCGTAGGGCTTAGGAGTGTTTAGGCAAATAAGGAGGATAAGAGGGTGTTTGTGTAGTAGATGGTGTTTTTTGCGAGTTAAGCATATGCATGCTTCGTCGAGGACAAAATCACACTGCAAACAACTATAGAAATTATGAGTAG